GACCACCCAGCCCGGAGGCCTTAGTCATGGTGAATTTTGGTCTTCGAACACATGTCCACCCTCGAAGGAGTGGTCGTTACATGTGACCACCCAGCTCGGAGGCCTTAGTCATGGTGGATTTTGGTCTTCGAACACATGTCCACCCTCGAATGAGTGGTCGTTACATGTGACCACCCAGCCCGGAGGCCTTAGTCATGGTGGATTTTGGTCTTCGAACACATGTCCACCCTCGAAGGAGTGGTCATTACATGTGACCACCCAGCCCGGAGGCCTAGTCATGGGGGATTTTGGTCTTCGAACACATGTCCACCTTCGAATGAGTGGTCGTTACATGTGACCACTCAACCCGGAGGCCTTAGTCATGGTGGATTTTTTTCTTCCAAACTGCTCGAACACTTCGACCTGCCACTGAGGTCGACAAGAAAACACACCAAATACCACGAGATAGAATAATGATTGATCATTTCGTTAGTCCCCTCAAATGCATAGTTATATCAAACAAGATATAAAAATAACCAAAATCAAGCATTTTTTTCGACCTCCCTTTCCTGTCTGTACACGACGACCTGAGTTGTTTGCTTCTTGTATTCCACTCCTCACCATAACCAATATCTGGTTCACCTGCTCATGCATTTTCCTCAGCAAGAATTCAACTGATTCCATCAGTTGCGTTTTATCCACATCATCCAATTTGCAATCTCAATAGCAATAATAACAAAAGACGAGTAAATCAAAGCAATCACATTCGTCCACATTCGTTTATATCACACCTCAATCTACATGCAAGTCTCTACCACGATATGAAATCGCATAAACACCCACTCAAATGTATAGTCGACCAGAATTTCACAAAGCTATGAATTGAACAAACAATTATAATAAACCAAACTCTGCAGCTACAAACAATCATTAAACGAATGCACCACACAAAAATTCAATTGAGTTACTCCCAATACCGAGTTCCTTAGTCATGACGACTCGAGATTGGCCAGCCCGAAGGCCTTAGTCGTGCCAGATTTTGTTCGAGGCTCCACGTACACCTTATTTTCTGTATTTTGTTAGTCACCCAAATAATAATTCCGGACATATCCACATACACCACAATCTCAGCAATATTTCGCCCAGAATATTCAAACAATGAACATTACTCCAAAAAAGAATGCTAAGAGACTCTATATGTCACAAAATAGTGTCAGTCGATCTTGACCATCGACAAGAGTTGAGATTAATTTTATACCTGAAGGTCGAGAATGCCACTCCCAATTATCCTACCTCTTCAAAGAAAATGATTTCTGCCTCTGAAATTGCCACCTGCGATTGGCACCATCCAGACTCGTCCCTTCTTATCACCTTGTTTTGATGGCTTCGTGCTCGCTCATTGTATCCTCGAGGCTCCACAACTCGTCCGACATAGCTTGTCGAGACTCGGGTTATTTCGTTGTTTCCTCGACAAGAATTCAAAGATATATCATTATCCATATTATATTCACATCATCCATTTTGCAATTCTTTACGCAAGAAAAACAAGAGATCATATACAATCATCACCATCTCCTCGATTTAAGACATGCTCGAGCAATGACATGCTTAAAGACTATGAATAATCAATTCGAACCAAATTCCACATTTTCACATAAACATCCAAATGAGAGACTCTGAATATATCAAGATATCAAATCATATCATCCTAATTCATCTCCTCGAGTCCCCGATAAATGCACCACGCACACGATAAAACACTCGCTAAATATCTCCAACTCGACATTACGACCCGCATTTATTCTCAATCAAATAATTTCTTCATAAATAAATCAAATATCTCCACGGATAAATCGAATATCACCACGAGCAAATCAAATAATTCCACGATCGAATCAGATATCACCACGAAAAAATCAAATAATATCTCGAATAAATCACATAATCTCCATGAGTAAATCAAATAATGCTCCATGCATATGACACATATCCTCCACGAAATAAATCCACTAATACTCCACAAATAAATCAAATAAGCTCCACGAATATTGTAAATATTCTCCTCAGAGAAATCAAATAAACTCCACGAACATATCAAATAAACTCCATGAATATATCAAATATTCCCACGAATATATCACACATTCTCCACAAATAAATCAAATAAGTTCCCCGAATATTGCAAATATTCTCCTCAAATAAATCAAATAATCTCCAATTTCACCAATTTAAAAATCCCTTGAGTGCACAATTAAATTAACCACATACCTTGACCATGAGAATATTATCTCAAATTACCTCACCATCCATTTTGTATCGTCCCGAATTCGTATTAGGCACAAAATAGAGCTGTTTTTGTTCACTGGGCCAACTTGGATAGACTTTCACGCGTAATGGGCCGCATTTAGGGCGCTAATGGGCTGCATTAGTGGCCTGGGCGGAGGGGTGAAACCAGTGGGCTGCTCACTGGCCTAAATCGGGCTCTCGCGGGCTGAAATAGTGAGGGACGCGGGCTGGAGCGCTGTGATGGATATGGGCCCGCTCGCGGGCTGGCAACGGGCCAAGCACGGGCTGGATGGCGATGGGTGCGGGCCGCGCGGGCTGGACGCGGCCCGCGAGCTTCTCCTCATCTCTTGCTGGGCCTCGAGCAGTTGGGCTGTGTTCGAAGCTACTGTGCCAACTGAACACCACCTGGACCTCTCTCTTGCTGGATATCAGATTGTGGGCTGCGTGCTGGGCTCCTTGCGGGCTGGGAATCATTGGGCCGCGACGGGTTGCTCCATGCCCAAAGCTCGCCCGCTGGGAAGGCAGAAACTGCGGCTTCGCAGGAAAAAATGGCGCCGACGAGAGTTCGCCGGTTCCGGTGGAAACGACTGGCCGTGTGTGCGTCCCGACGAAGGGAATCCGATGGCATCCTTGGTTCGAAGTGGTTCGCCAGAAATAGACCGAAAAATTGGAAGAGATGACCGAAGGTTGACTAAAAATCTCTTAGATCCGAAAACATTGACCATAGTTTTTAAACCCGGCCCGGTGATCGACCCGGGCAGGTCCTCGGGTCACCGGGTCACCGGTTCAACCGTCGGGTCACCGGGTCAATTGCTGAACCGGATAATTAATTTAAAAATTTTTAAAATTATATATAGAGTATTTTTGTTATATAAATATACATAAAAGTAACAAATTAAATATTTTGTGTATAAAATTTGTATATTAAAGTGTTAATAATATGTATTTCATGATAAATATTTACCATATAAACATATATACATATTTTTATTTTTTTAAAAATAAAAAAAATAAAAAAAAAATATAAAAAATATATATGGACCGGGTCAATGCCCCGGGTCGGCCGGGTCTCTGCCGGGTCGGCCGGGTTTTGACCGAGTTGGACCGGGTCCTTGGTTGCCCGGTCCAAATACTCCACCCGGACCGGTTCCAGTTCCGGGTCAACCGGGTCCCGGGTCGACCCGCCGGGCCGGTCCGGGTCTCAAAACACTGATATTGACCACCAAATAGGTAGCCTTCCCGAACGAATTCTTGATCGAAATTCTAAGGGTAAAACGAGCACGAGGACAGCTTCGCGATGGTGTAAGAATTTTTTCAGATCGCACAACTTTGGTCGACGGCCGGCTGCGGAGGTGGCGGCGTCCGGCGGCGGCGGCGGCGGCGACGTTCGGCAAAGGTTGGTAGCTGGAGATTCGTCTCGCCGAGAGGATTCTGGTGGTACCCTTGGATTCGTCATAGCTTTCACGGATCGTCGGAAAAAATGCATTTGAATGTCCGATTTTGACCAATTTTTTGCTAGATCTGAAAACTTTGACCGCAAAATTGACGGCAAAATTGACAGCCTTCCCAGAGGAATTTTTGCATGAAATTTTAAGGGGAGATCCATCTCGAAGGGATCTATCCAATGACGTAAAGAATTTTCCGATCGGAGCACGTTTTCCAGCGGCCGGCGGCGAGGGTGGCGGCCGGCGGTGGCGGCGACCAGTGGAGAAGAAGGAGCTTGCTAGAAAATTTCTCGAATTTTTCGGTTAAAACTCCGTTTGGCTTTTTTAACGGGTCCCACAGACGGCGCCAATGAAGTGAATAAGATTTCACCCGGGCTCCTTCAACTCGGACGGCCTCCGTACCTGCAAGAACCCAACGCCGGGAGGGGTCCCGGCGTCGAGCCTCCGACGCTCAAGTCAGAATCACCTCAAGACTCCAAATCCAAAGTGTATAGTAATGAATGTAGAGAGAATGAGAGAATGAGATACTTTAGCCCCTTTTATAGGGAGAGTGTACCTTAGGCCCAAGTTGGGCTTATGCAATAGCATCATGTCACATGTCCTAGCCATGTGTGGGCTTATTCTTCAATATATTCCCTTTTTATGCATTAAACCCGGTCCAGTATAATATCCTATATCCTATATCAGTACTAAACATCAGATCTCGTGTACTATACAGGAAAGTCTAATTTCAGCTATCAATAAACTTGTAATAGTATCAGCTATCATTGGAAGTTGCCATAGTTGAGGCTGCACCCTGCAATTGTGAATTTAGACCAGACCAAAAAGTAAATTTATATGGAAAACATTATTTTGTATATATTTTTTTTAACTAGTGCTCACTATTGTTTTATCATTTAGTTTGCTATAAATTGTTGCAACAAAAACAGGCTGAAGTTGGTACCGGATTATTAAATGTTTGAAGTTTAATTGCACAGGTACCAAAAGTCCTGATGGTTACGTTCTGGCAATATCCTTGGGTTTGGTATCCATTTTAAAGTAAATTTTCTTTTCCTCAGTTTTTGCTTTTTTATTTTCTATGTGAGTTTTATTTTTTAATTTTCTGTCCGATGGAGATGATATTATTGTCTTCCTTCACAAGGTTAAAACGAGTCATCATGCTTGAAACTTTGTAAGGTTAAAACTAGTCACTGTGCTTGAAACTTTAATTCATAGTAGAAGATTTTTGTGAAATTTTCATTTATAAAGTGCTTTGTCTTAGCGTTTAAACATTGATGGCCGTCCTAACTCCCGAAACATACTTGCACGGTCATGTAGTTTTTGCTTGTAATTCGGATATGACGTCTATTCTGATTTTACTTATTAGTAAAACTAACTTCCAAAATACCAAAGGAGAAAAGAGAGAATGGCTTTCACTTATCTAATATTTATATCAGTTTGTCTTTATAACCTAAGTTGCAATACGTATACTTCCCTTCAAGAAATTTTGTTATGAGTTATTATTTTAACTCATTCTTCTTATTGCTGATCCTTCTGTGATACTATATGCCGAAAATTCAACTGGCAGGCATCATGTTTTGTGATGCTTGTTTGCACGTGAAACCAATGTCTTAATATCACGGTTTGATGGTGCAGATCATTCCTTGACACACAATATACTTTTCGTCTCGCACAACTTAGGCTGAAGTTGAGATCTAGTATCATGACTATTATCTACCGGAAGGTAAATTTTGTGGCATCAAAATGCAAACTCCCAAACGCCTTTAAATAGAAAAGTTGATATGTGAATGCAAGAGTGTGATCGTTGCAGAATAATCTACACACTAAATATTTAAATTCATTCACATGAAAAATGAAGAATCATCCAAACTGACTCCTATAGAAAGTTTGAAATTTGCTAGCGCGATGGCGTGCATCATGTTTTTGCTGTCCTAATCTTCCGATGAATAAAAAAATTATTATTTTATTCTGCTTCTTTAAAGCGTGCATGTCTTTCTCAGTGCCTTTGTGTTAGCTTAGCCGAGAGATCAAAGTTTTCCGAAGGAGAAATTCAAACGTTCATGTCCGTAGATGCAGACCGAATTGTAAACCTAAGCAACAGCGTTCACGATATGTGGAGGTTATTCTGCTGAGCATATGTATCGTCTGTCGAGATTAACAACGCGAATTCTACTTTATCTTAGTTGAACTAATATTATTGACTTTTTTTATGCAGCTTGCCTTTACAAATAGGTGTTGCTCTGTATTTACTATACAAACAAGTCAAGTTTGCCTTTGTTGCTGGACTAGCCATAACTATTCTGCTAATTCCAGGTACGTGTTAAATTATTTTTTTGATTGTTATGCATTCAGACAGAGCTTTTCATATGGGGGTATTTGTCGACCCTATCAATTTAATGATAGGATAGTTTATTTTACTCGACGGTGATCATTTCTTATTCCCTTTTTTTTAATATGCATTTAACTTGTAAGTCGAGATGTCTCAGAAATCAAGTCTGTGTTGGTGGCTTAGTATCATTTACATCAAAGATGTGTAACTATTGAAGACTTCACAGAAAATCGGTTGGTGATATCCTTTACAAGGCCACTAAGTCCCTTTGTCAAACAATATAGACACTTTGTACATTACTCCTGATATAGTGATGCATCTAACCTATATAAAACTCAAAGACTTGTGAAATTTTCATCAATGCTATAATCCAAGGCATATACACATGCACGACTGTTATTTAGAATTTGGAGCGACTTTTTAAAAGGGAAGTATATAAAATGCTGCGGTAAAAATTGCTTTTTAATTGTAAAGTGAGCGGTAGGTCTGCCTGTAATTACATTGTATGTTTCATTGTGGTATATAATTTGCAGTTAACAAATGGATAGCGAATCTAATTGCGAATGCCACTAAATGTATGATGGAGCAAAAGGATGAAAGGTATTAATTAATTATGAAATAGCTCCTGGACCAAAAAAAAAAAAGAATCAAACAAAGAAAGAAATGCACATGTATTCCATTTATATGATATAGGATGTTGAGAAACAGACATACACTCCAATTTCCAGGATTCGAAAGACAGCTGAACTACTCACATATATTCGTACTTTGAAAATGTACGGCTGGGAGCTTCTCTTCGCCAGCTGGTTGATGAATACGAGGTCCTCTGAAGTTAAATACTTATCGGTAAAATTGAATTTAATCATATAATTTGGCATAGCTCCTAAATTAGTATTTTATTTCTGCAGATCATGAATTGGCTCCTCAAACTCAAGCTCATTCATTTAAAACTGTTGTTTTGTCAGACAAGAAAATATCTGGATGCTTGGTGCGTGTTCTTTTGGGCAACGACACCCACTCTCTTCTCTTTGTGCACGTTCGGACTCTATTCCTTAATGGGCTATCCGCTCGATGCTGCAACTGTATTTTCACTGTTCCATCAAATTTTCCATGAAGAGCAAACATTATTTCTGATAAAATTATCTTCTTGTTATATACACTCATATCAACTTTCAGGTTTTCACCTGCCTAGCTCTGTTTAACAACTTGATCTCCCCCCTTAACTCTTTCCCTTGGGTCATCAATGGCTTGATAGATGTAAGTTCACTTCTTTTGACTCACGAAACAATTTGTAAGCGCGAAGAAATATATTATATTCGACATGCTTCTCCAGGCAGCTATATCTACTAGACGATTGAGCAAGTATCTCTCCAGCTTTGAAAATGATATTGAGCACGGAAGTTCATCCCCAAATGTTGTTGGTGATAAATTTGGATCTAAAGAGCCGGCTGTTGCTGTACGTGATGCATCATGTGCATGGTCGAGCTGTGATGAGAAGGAATTTAATTTGGTCTTGGAATGTGTAAACCTTTATGTTCAGAAAGGGTTCATGGTCGCCATAATAGGAGAGGTGCGAATATTTCTGCATCATAATTTTTTGCTAGAGGCTAATCTGTTTTTATAAGTTAATTTTATTGAGTAAATTTGATTAGGCCATGGACTGAGCTATGCGCGTAGATGAAAAAGTTACTGTGTTTTGACTTTTGACTATCAATGCTTTTGATTATAGGTAGGATCGGGTAAATCGTCTCTTTTAAACTTGCTCCTTGGGGAAACTAGGCTTATCAATGGATCGACACATCTAAATGGCTCAAAAGCATATGTACCACAGGTCAGTTTCATTGCCTATTATCACCTTTGTTCATTCTCTTTAAAGAAAAAAGAAATATTCATACTTGTATATGTTTTAGGTCCCCTGGATAATGTCTGGGACTATCCGTGATAATATTTTGCTCGGAAAGGACTATGATCAGAAAAGGTAGTTATAAGTTTCCCTAAAAAATTAACAGAAAAGGTGCACATATGTTATTTTTTCCCAAGTTTTTTCCTGATAATTTATTTTTTTAAGAGAAAAAACATAACTTTCCCTTCTTGGTTTGCCTGGTCAGATACTTGGATGTGTTACAGGCATGTGCTCTGGATCTCGATATTTCGCTAATGGTGGGAGGTGATATGGCTCATATTGGTGAAAAAGGGACCAATTTGTCGGGAGGACAAAGAGCTCGCCTGGCCCTTGCAAGGTAACTGATACTTGTTATCAATGAATCATTTCATAAATCATGACACATAATTTGTTTTCTTTTTATCCATTTCCATTTATCATTGGCATGGACAGGGCTCTTTATCACGCCACAGATATATACCTGCTTGATGATATCCTGAGTGCGGTTGATTCACATGTCGGCCGCTCAATTTTGCAGAATGCCTTACTTGGACCTGTTATGAACGGAAAAACACGCATTCTCTGTACACATAATATCCAGGTTTGAATTTTGTCTTCTGTGTGTAGGTGGGGTTACTTTCTTTCTTTCTTTCTTTCTTTCTTTCTTTCTTTCTTTCTTTCATTTATTTTTTATTTTTTATTTTTTGTAAGTTCAGTTTTTGTTTAAATATCATTTTTGTTTTTTAAGTCCAGACAAACTCCATATTGCAGGCAATACAATCGGCTGATTTGGTAGTTGTGATGGATAAAGGACGAGTGAAGTGGGTAGGAAGTCCATCAGATTCGTCTATTTCTTCCTACATCTCGTTTCTATCTCTAGACGAGGTGAACACATCCACCGGAATACAAAACAACAAAAAATTACCAATTGAATTAGAACAAAACCAAGAAGAAGATTGTATAAGCACTTCCAGTGACGCCCAGGGTGTCGTTGAGGCCGAGACACGAAAAGAAGGAAGTGTTGAGGCAACAGTATACAAGTGAGTTACTGTCCACCGATAGATTGTTCTGTTTTACAAAGAACAAGGAAGTATAGACAAAGAAGGAAAAAAACGGCTATATATGTGAAACCATTTGACTATTCAATATCAATTTTTTGTACAGAAAATATGCTACATTTGCTGGTTGGTTGGTTACAGTAATGACATTCGTCTCGGCAATTTTGATGCAAGCTTCTCGTAATGGAAATGATCTGTGGCTCTCATTTTGGGTTGACACCACAGAAGACAGCCCAAGCAAGTATTCAACCACTTTCTACCTGGTGAGCATGTTACTTTTTTTTTTCCCCTTTAATATTGTGCAAATCAAATTACCCACATATTAGGACTTTTTAACTGCTATACCGAGACTCTTCTTAAATGTGTGCACAAGGAAAACATGGTTCGGCTGTAGGATGGTCAAGCCTTGTTAGCATTTATTGTCACTTTGATCGTGCAGGTCATACTTGGCATATTTTGCTTGGTGAATTCATCGTTAACTTTAGTGAGGGCATTTTCGTTTGCATTTGGTGGTCTACGAGCCGCTATTAGAGTGCATGACCAGTTACTACAGAATCTTACTGATGCACCTATTGGCTTCTTTGATCAGACCCCAAGTGGAAGAATATTAAACAGGTAGCATATATTTAATTTAATTTTATGATGGTTAGATTCGTCGTGCTAAT